CTCGATACCTGCAACACCCGATGCCCGCCCCAGCACGCACGCACGCACACCACTATCACCGACCAATGTTTCAACACCCCCACACGCCAAGCCATCGCTGACCAACCTTTCACCCACATGCCCGAGCATACCACCGCCGACAGGGCGTCGGCGAACCGAAGGCAGAGCTCCCCACAACGCCTGAGCGGCCGGTCCGGCCCGGTCCCCTGGCGGCCCCCACCTTGCCGACGGCGGTGCAGCCGACCAGGTGCTCCCGCGTCAGCTGAGTGGCGCCGTCCGTCCACTCGGCGTCGCCGTCCACCGGCTCCACGCCGCATAGGTGGACGGTGACGGCCTGAGGCGGCGGCGCGGCCAGCTCCTCCGGCAGCGTGAGCAGGCGCGACCGCTGCCGGGAAGACGGGAAGACGTCGACGTGGGAAACGCGGCCGGCCGGAGACCAGTTCGCGAGGGAATTTTGGTCAGCAAGCCCGCGCTCAAATTCGCGACGGTTTGGTGGAGAAATCGTTAAACCGAACGCCATGATGAGCACATAGCGAAAAAGCACGGGCGTGGCGACAGTTTCATCGAATGTCTTGAAGCAAAACGTCACCATGGCCTGACCTGTCACGCAGCCGCGTCTCATGACTTCCATCAACTGCAATACCTAAAGCCACTGACGACCCTACCAGCGCGCCGAAAAATGGCATCTGCCGCGTCTCACAACACGCACCCGCACCCCCCCCCCCCCCAACGCAACGTTCTCACAGCATCCAAGCGACTCCGACCTCAATACAGTACCATCCTCATCACCACCATTACCATCATCACCAGCACCACACGAACACCCAGCCGAGCTCTGCCAGCGCGGCCACGCGTCACCGTACGGCCCACAGTCTGTGTAACGCCCGACTGGGGGGGGGGGGGGGGGACGGGCGCCGGCCCGCGGCCGTGACACGCACCTGCACGGTCTCGACTCTGCCGAAGTCCAGCAGCAGTACAGAGCAGCTGGCGGGGCCCGGCTCCAGCGAGCTGACCCGCCACGCGCACGAACATGCCGTTCCCACTGGAGGCCCACACGTCCCCCCACCTGGGCCAGCTCGCGACACCGCCTGGGGGCGCGACGGAGCAGGGGTCAGCGTGTCCTCGCCCGGGTCGGCGGCGGGCGTCATCGTCATCGCCACCGGTACCGAGCGACACGCAATCCGCTGCAGCTAACCACCAACACGACCGCGCCCATCACACGTGGGCGGTGCGAAACTTGTACGCGACATATTCAGCACTTCAAAGCTAGCACAACTTTGCTATCCTGTTTCGCGGGAAAAAATCAGTCTCTGAAAACTAGCCAGCACGTGAGCATGGGACAATTATACAACGCACCCAGCACATTTTTGGACGTTTTGTTCAGTGCCTGGCCATAAGAATGACAGAACGCCTCCCACCGCAAACCGGCACCCCCCGTCAGCACGGGCGCGCGCCGCACCTCTGCGCGGGGTCGCTGTAGTGAGTGCAGACGTCCAGCTCCAGACGCCGGCAGGGCCCGTCCAGGTCCCGGCGGACGCTGGCGCCGCTGCCCCGGTCCAGCTGGCGCACCGACAGCAGCCGGACGGCCAGCGTGGCCGCGTCCGGCGCGCCGCACACGGACACCGTCACCTCGCCGTGTCTGGACACCAGGGGAGGGGCAAGTTCACAACCCCGGTAAATGGACGGAAAGTTATGCTTTAGATTGGTAAGGCGTGCATTTTTCATTTCTAAGACTTCATGCACCTGCATATCATTAATACAAGAGCATTTGGACAAAGTTCTCGCAGTTGGCACAGTAACTGATAGCTGTTTTTCATACTTACATGAACGCTCCTTACGTATTTGGCACCTAAGTTTTACACATGTGTATCCAGATAGCAAGCAATTAAGAATCCCCCACATGTAATGAATACCACGCCCTCTGCACATGCGACATGCCCTTACGCGGGTACGTCGGCGTCACAGGCGTCCGCCTCCGCGTGCAGCCAATGACGCAGGTCGCAGCTGAGCCGGTCCCGGCAGCGGCCGAACGCCATCAGCTGGCCGCAGAGCTGCCGGCCGCCGCCGCCAGAGCGGCGCTGCAGTTGCGCCGCTGCCGCCAGCGCCTCGGGCACCGGCGCGTCCAGCCGGCGCAGCAGCTGCTCCAGGCGGAGCCCGATCTGCGCCGCCGCCGCCGGCGAGACGAACAGGTGCGCCACACACGGGTTCTGCAGAGGCGGGTGGGGAGGGGGGGGGGGGCGGGGTCACCGAGCGGCGGCGGAGAGGCGAGGGAGCGCCGCAGTTACGGAAGATGCAGCAGGCGGCGGCCTGCTGTAGACCACATCAGACTGCAATGCTGTAGACTACCGACACACGCCTAACCCTTGACCCTGACCTGACTCTGAACTGCACCCCTGACCCCGGCCCGGCGCCGCACCTCCGCCTTCGGCTCCGTCAGCCTGTCCGGCGTAGCTGTCCATCATGTAGCTCATGCGCAGGCCCAGCTGAGTGCGCTTCACCGTAGGCACGTCGTAGTGGAGCAGGGCGCGGGCGTCCCGCACCACCAGCTCGCCGCACACCGAGTCGCTGACGATCAGCACGTCGTGCGCGCCGCTCGAGGACCGCCAGCACCGCTCCAGCTCTGCACAGGGCATAACAGAGGTCACACAGGGGCGGGCCAACTGTCAGAGGTCAGGGAGTGGGTTGCTGAGGGTCAGGCGCCATGTAGGCGCCGCTGGAGGACTGCCAGCACCGCTCCTGCTATGCATAGGACACAAAGGTCAGAGGCCCCAGAGGTCCACACAGGCCTAGTTCCAGCTGATCGCTAATCACCGGGATGCCATCACGCTGTCTGGGGACAGTCAACAACAAACTAGCTATGAAGAGAATGAGAGGACGCCGCGGTGAGATGCCAGGCGCGGAAAGGCGGGCCGAACAGCGCACCAGACAGCAACCAAGGTATGTAATGTTCATCATGGCATGGGAGGTGAGAAAGCCCAACGCGTAACAATACGCGACGCGTAAAATCCGAGGAAAGCAACCCGGCGTCACACCGCCCAAGCGCGGCTGACTGACCGGTGAGCGCCGCCTAACCGCGGCTGACTGACCGGTGAGCGCCGCCCAAGCGCGGCTGACTGACAGGTGAGCGCCGTCTAACCCCGGCTGACTGACCGGTGAGCGCCGCCCGACCGCGGCTGACTGACCGATGAGCGTCGCCCAAGCGCGGCTGACTGACCGGTGAGCGCCGCCCGACCGCGGCTGACTGACCGATGAGCGTCGCCCAAGCGCGGCTGACTGACAGGTGAGCGCCGCCTAACCCCGGCTGACTGACAGGTGAGCGGCCGCCCAAGCGCGGCTGACTGACGGATGAGCGCCGCCCGACCGCGGCTGACTGACCAATGAGCGTCGCCCAAGCGCGGCTGACTGACCGGTGAGCGCCGCCTAACCCCGGCTGACTGACCGGGAGTTCCGCCCAACCCCGGCTGACTGACCGATGAGCGCCGCCTAACTCCGGCTGACTCACCGGTGAGCGCCGCCCGAGCACAGCTGACCCACCGGCGAGCGCCACCCAAACCCCGGGTGACTGACCGGTGAGTTCCGCCCAACCCCGGTTGACTCACCGGTGAGCGCCACCCGAGCACGGCTGACTCATCAGTGAGCGCCGCTCCGATCTGGTCGCCGTCGGCCAGCAGCACGGCTAACTCACCAGGTGAGCGCCGCTCCGATCTGGTCGCCGTCGGCCAGCAGCACGGTGTAGGGACTGGGAGCACAGCAGCCGGGCCAGCCGCTGCGCGCTCTGGTCGCTCGAGGTGAACACGACCAGCCGCTGGCGGTACAGGCCGCTCTCCAGCAGACCTGCGGCCAGGGTGGGCACCGTGTGGAGGCGCCGCTCGAGGACCGCACCGCGGCTGGGGGCCGGCTCGGATGGACGACTTTTTCGGACCTTTGTCCTTGCCACAACGAGGTGAAAGCCTCGTCATGACAAAGTGAGAGCGGCAGTAAGTCTTACTAGCATAATTAGCACACTGGAACCTAACTTCAAACACCAATCAAACAAATATCTTTTCAAGGGCCACACACGGACAATGTAAGACCACTAATTCACCAAATTCATGACTGGGACAGTCTAACTCGAAAGTTGTCATCACGCGAGGACCACGTTTCCCACGATGATGCAAGACGATAATGTGCGGAAACTACCTGCCCCGCATCCTGCCGAAGAGTATCAGCAGGCGGCTGCGGCGGACCGCCGGCGCGCGGGCACTCACCCAGCAGCTTGCAGTCCTTCTCGGCCTCGTCTAGTACGTGGGTGAACACCCGGGGCCGGGCCCACACCATCTGCTCCAGGTAGCAGGCGGTCATCCACCACTGGGTCGCTGAGGAGCGAGGTCAGCTTCCGCAGGCCTGCCCGGCAGGGGTCAGGTCAGGTCAGCTACGGACAGGTCAGCTTCTGCACACACCCAGGGGTGCGTTTCACCAGGTCGGAGTGGGCCGTGTGCTGGTCTCGACGCCCCCTCTCCCCCACGGAATGGGCCGTGTGCCGGTCTCGGTACCCCCTCCCCCCACGAAGCGGGCTGTGTACCGGTCTCGACGCCCCTCCCCCTCACGGAGCGGGCTGTGTGCCGGTCTCGACGCCACCTCTCTCCCCACGGAACGGCTGTGGCCGGTCCTCGGTACCCCCTCCCCCACGAAGCGGGTTTGTTACCATCTCGGTACCCCTCCCCCTCCCTCACGAAGCGGACTGTGCGCCCGCCTCGGCGCCCTCACCGTCAGTCCAGTGGCGGGCAGTGGCGACGATCTGCTCGGGCAGCGCGGCGGCCGGCTGGACACGCGTCCGCCACACCCGGTGCACCGCCATCACCAGCCGCTCCACCTGAGCAGGCGGCCGCGACAGGCCGTGCCAGGTGTCAGACACGCCCGGCGGTCACGCTACATAGCTCAAACAGCGTGGAAACGCCGATCTGGGCTGAATTGGCGACGGCTGGCCGGACCAGCCAGTGCCCGGCCGCACCCCGGCAATCACAGGCCGCCACGTGGCAGCAGGCCGGCCATGCTGGGTCCGGACCCCTGACCTACCGCGCCGCCGCTACTGACCGGCCTGCCTGATGACAGGCACCGAGCAGACAGCTACACAAGGCAGCCACTGAGATAGACGCGCGACAGACAGGGGATGGAGACGGTGGTGATGATACGGGATTTATGACGAGCCACCCACTGCGATCGCGTCGCACCCAACAGCGCTGGGAGCCACCAGGCCTCGGACATGCTGGACGCTCTATCATTATCATTATAGAGCATCCAACATCCTGCACAACGCACCACAAAGTCGGATCATCCTTATGACGACACATCCCAGCACCGCTCCTGTGGACATGCATCGGGTCTCTCTTAGGACACGAATCCCCGTGCTACCTGCGAGGTGAAGTCCTCCACCAGGAGGTCAGCGTCGTCCAGCACCAGGTGGCACACGCGCTTTAGCTGGACGTAGGTGTCGCCGCCGCGCTCCAGAAGCCGCAGCAGGCAGGAAGGCGTGCCCACCAGCAAGTCACAGCCATTCATCAGGGCCACCTGAAGTGTAGGGCACAGCGCAGGGTGACAAGCAGGGACAGGTCATGATACGCCAGAGTCGCCGAAGGCCAGGTCACCTCACCAGCACCACATCACGGCATCCGGACAGGTCGTGACACACACGGCCAGCGAAGACCAGGCCACCTCACCAGCACCACATCACGGCATCCGGATCCGGTCACACAAACAAAAGCGGACGAGAGCGTTCGCAGCAAGTGGCAACCCCACAATCCTCTCCGGCCGCGCCAGAGCGCCGCTGCCGCTGCGGCCGCTGCCTCACCTCCTGCTCGGCCTCGGCGCCGCCGCCGTGCACCAGCAGCGGCCGGCAGCGCAGCGAGTCGGCCACCTCCTGGCAGAGCGCGTGGACGGCGCGCGCGCGGCGCCACGAAGGCACCAGCACCAAGCAGACAGGCCCGTGGCCGGCCGGCAGCTGCCAAGCGCGTCAAGTCACGTCAGCGGGGATCATGACGTCACGACACGTCAGCGGGAATTATCACGTCACGACACGTCAGTGAGGATCATGACGCCACGACACGTCAGCGGAGATCATGACGTCGCGACACGCGCGGCGGCGGAGCGGCAGGCGTGACGCGGGGGCCGGCTCCGCCCGGCGCTGGCGTGTGGGATGGAAGGGACCGGCGGGGCGTGGATCCGAGGGCCTCTGTTGCGATGACATGGCACGTTGTCTCTCCAGCCGCGCGGATAGTGTGAGGATCGCGCTCCGATGCAGGATAACGAGCCCCGAGAGGACGGAGATAAGATGAAGTTGCGGCACAGCGTTTCAGGAATGCATCTCATTGTGTAGGGGCAACAGTCAGTCGACTTCCATTGCAGCCGTGTGAACATAACCACGAATACTACATGCGCCAGGGGGGGGGGGGAGGGGGCAGCCAGGCTGAAGCACTTTCTTTCCAAACCAGTGTCAAATAAAAATGACATGCAATGCAGTACCGAACACCCGTGTCCGTGAAAACTGCCCGCTCCCCGGCTAACACCGTCTGCAGCCATGCCTCGGAGCCGCGTCCGCCTGACGTACATCGGTGTAGGCCTGCCGGTCCAGCAGGCTGTCGACCACTCCCAGCAGGTAGCCGAGCGTCTTGCCGGAGCCCGGGTGGCTGACGCAGACGGCGTGGCGGTAGCGCGCCAGCGCCGGCCACAGGTACGCCTGCACCCGAGACGGCTGGAAACCGATCGGGCGCAGCTTCTGCGGCGGCAAGTCAGGTCAGGTCAGGTCAGGGCCGACCAGCCCACGGTAGGGCAGGCCAGGCCAAGTCAGGTCAGATCAGGTCAGGGCTGGTCCGCTCACGGCAAGCACGTCAGGTCAGGTGAGGTCAGGTCAGGCCACGGCAGGTCAGGCCCGAGAGGCTCACGGCAGGACGAGGCAGAGCACCGCAGGTTAGGTCACGGCAGGCCACGTCACGGCAGGTCGAATCAGAACATGTGATGTCCGGACGGGTTTTTAGCCGGGCAGACTATTGACTGTCGTATTCGCCACTTCGCATTGTTATGGATCGTACAATCCACCTGGCCATTTAACTATGCATAACAATGCATTTTAAAGATGTCCAATGACCAGCAAAATGAAACAGCATTTCCCAATGGACCGGTCCCAAAACTGAGACCGTGGATTGCCGCTGGATCCCATCCTCACAAAGCACAAACGACACATTCTCCGACGCCACCCGGGCCCCACCTGCAGGATCATGTCCTGGAACGGTATCTGCTCGGTCCACCACCAGGGCGCCACGCGGCGGCGGCAGCTGACCAGCACGCGCAGGTGGGCGGAGTCGGCGGGAGCGCCACCGGCGCGGCTCGTGGGCCGCTCCCGGAGCCGACCGGCCACCAGCTGCGGCTCCGGGGCCGGGGCTGGGGCCGGCGCCGGGGCCGGTCTGGCGGACAGGCGCCACGGTGGAGAGCGCGCCGGCCATGGCGACCGGAGGGGAACAGTTTGTCGCGGCGAGGTGTGGAAGGTGACCGCGGTCATGGTGCGGGCGTGGCGGCGGAGTATTGAGTTAGAGGTGAGTTAAAGTGAGATACTTCGTGCAAATCTGATTCGGATCTTCTGGATTCAGCCGTAAGTGGGCTGTAGCGACCGCGAACTAAATCTACATTAAAGGAATCGGATCCGCCTACAAGTATGATCAGTTTCATTTTTTTCCTTAAGACTGAGCATTTACTTTCCAGACAAATATTTTCTAAACCCAAACAAATCCCGAGCACTCAAGACAATGACATCTTTGCACATTATGCCCGGTAGAAAAAGACATGAACCAAACCACTACGGCACTGACAGTATCACCCGTGGTACTCGTCTTCCAATGAGTTCGTGTCACGGCCAGAACTTTTCAGAATCATCCCAACAAACACAAACTCCCACAGACAGCACGCTACCACCTAAACTAGGAGAGCACGCCGCAGCCTTCAACACTCTGAATACGAAACCACTATCCTACAAGCCAAGCCTCTTTCAGTGACCAGTGACCAGTGACAGCACGGCGGCGCGACAGCCGAACGAGAGCGGTGACCGGGTGACGGGCCGCACGACGGCGCCAGCAGCGCCACCATTCTACAGCCGCTGACACGGCGCGCCTGGCGCCAGGGAAGCTCACCGGGGCGCCGGCGCGGCTCCAGCGGCTCCAGCGGCTCCAGCGGCTCCAGCGGCTCCGGCGGCTCCGGCGGCGGCGGCCGGCTCGCTGTCGGACGAGTCCAGCTCGGCCAGCTCCTGCAGGCGGCCGGCCAGAGCAGGCGCGGCTCCAGCAGGTCCGGTGGCGGCGGCCGGCTTGCTGCCGGATGAGTCCAGCTCGGCCAGCTCCTGCAGGAGGCCGGTCAGATCGGGCCGCTCTGCGGCCGCCACGGCGGAGAGCGGCGTCGGCTCTGGCTCGACTGCCAGCGAGTCTGACTCGAGGCAGACGGCGGGCGGCGGCAGCGAGGCGGACACCGCGGCGGGCGGCGGCGACGAGGCGGACACCGCGGCAGGCGGCGGCGACGAGGCGGACACCGCGGCGGGCGGCGGCGACGAGGCGGAAGCCGCGGAGGGCAGCGGAGCAGCGTCGTCCTGCGGCCGCGGCTGCGTCTCCGTCTCGGGCCTGCCCAGAGCCCAGTCTGGCAGCGGAGTCGCCTTGGGCGGCGACACCGCCTCCGGCTGCCCCGCCAGCCCCTGCATGCCTTGGGATGCTTCTTCCATCTCCGGTCGCTTTAGCGACATGTCCGCCTGCGCCGGTGTGACGGCCGCGTGCTCGAACGGACGGTCCGGTTCAGACGGCGCACTCGCGTGCACCGACGCCGCCGCAGTCTCAGCGTCGTCCGCCGACCACGCCGTTGTTCCCGTTCCTGTCGGCTGCTGGCCGGACTCCTGCGGCTCTCGGCCGCGGCTGGTCAACGCCGACAGGGGCGTCTCCTCGTAAAGGCCGGGCTCGGGACATCCCCCGCGCTCGTTCCCTGCTGTAAGCCCTTCACATTCTGTCGACATCGATCCGGCCCGGTCCGACCTCACGACCTCATCCTGAGAGTCTGAGCACGGTTCAGACCCAGCCTTCACAGCCTCAGCCGCGGCGGCGCACGTCTCTAGCCTCATCTGTCCAGCCGCCAGTGCGCACAGCCCTGTCCGCTCCTCGTCATGTGGTACGGCATCGCCGTCAGCTGGGGAAGCACCATCCCCGCCACCGGACGCGACGCGATCGGCAGTCGACGCAGAAGCAGTGCCTGCCCGTGCGACCGGCAGAACAGGAGCGGACGCAGAGGCGCTGCATGCCCGGCTGTCTGAAGAAGCAGCCACACTGGCGACATGGGCTACTGACGGATCCGAGACCGGCGCGACTAGCGGCGTATCCCATGGCACCTCGCCAGCTGCCGCAGCCTCTCCAGGTCCCGGGCGTCCACCATGCGCCGCGGCCGGCGGCGGGGCGGCCTCGGTCTCCAGCGCAGCCCGCTGCTTCTTCTTCTCCAGCAGGCGACGCATCTGGCTGCGCAGCGCCGCCGCCCGACCCGCGGGCGCCGCTGCCGGCGGCGCAGCCGACGAGAGGGTCTCCGACGCTGGCGCAGCGGCGGCGGCAGGCGGCGCAGCGTGCACACCCGGCGGGGGCGGCGCCGGCGCCAAGGCAGGCGTGGAGCGGACAAGTGGCGGAGACCGGCCGTCAGGCGCAGGAGACAAAGGCTCGGCGAGGAGAACGGGACCCACGGGCGTCTCGTACGGAGCCGGCGGCGTCGGCTCCACCGCCGTCCAGTTGTCCGGCGGCGAGGCGGCAGCGACCGGCGCGTCCTCCGGCGGGGCGGGACCGCAGGCTGTCGGTCTTCCTTCTCCACGCTGTCCTCCCTCCGTAGACGGCAACACCTGGGACGCACCAGCCTCAGGAGCCGCTTCCGACGGTCCTTCCGAAGCAACGGATGTCTGCGCAGCCCCGGCGGCGTCTCCTGACGTGGGCGCGGCAGGCGGCGCGCTCGCGCTCTCCGTTCTACGGTGCTCTTCCAACGCGACGCCGTTCCCGGCGCGAGCCGGCGCAGGCGCGCGGTCAATGTCGGACAGGCCTGACGCCAGCTCAGGCGGCCGCGGCGACGCCTGGCAGGAACTGGACGCCTGCGCAGCCTGGCCCCGCTCCATCAGCCGCTTCATGCGCTGCAGCATGCTGCTCGGCCGGGTGGCCGGCGGCGGAGACAGCGCCGCGGCCGCCGGCGAGTGGCAGACCCCGGCCACAGCCTCCGCCGGCGGCTGACCGACCGCCGCCGCCGCGGCGGGAGACCCGCTCGCCGACGCCACCGCAGCGCGAGCGCTCAACGTGTGAGGCGACGCTGCGGGGCCCGGAGGGCCGCCGGCGGTCGGCGCCGGGCCGCTGATGCCGCTCGCGGGGCCGCCACTGACGGCCGAGGTATCACCCGAGCCACTGCCCGTCACGACCGCTGCCAGGGAACTCCCGCTGGCTGCGGCCACGGGCGCGGCGGAGGTCTGCTGAGAGGCCGGACGTTCGGCGAGACCCGGGTCGGCTTCCGCTGCCGGTCGTCCGTGGTAGAGGTTCAGAGCATCTCCTGACGTCACCACCGCTCCTCCTCCGAGGGCTGCTGATGCACCACTCGGTACCGAGGCCGGAGCCGGTGCGGCGCCAACCTTGGCGCCCAGCAGCCGCTGCTGCCAGGCGCCGGAGGAGACGCGCTCGAACCGGGCCAGGCGGCGGCGCAGAGCCGAGCCGGTCGGCGCCTCGGCGCCTCCTGCCCCAATCGGAGCACCGCCAGGGGGCCTGTCAACCTGGACCGGGCGCTCGGCTGGGGCCACGGCCTCCGAGTGGTCCAGTGGTCGCTTGGTGGATGAGTCTGAGCTGGGAGGGGGCCCGGCTCGTGCAATGTGCTGTGAAGGCTTGCTGGATTGAGGGAGACCCGGTGGCGGTGACGACTTGTCACGACTCGGGAAGGGGGACGGGCCACCGAGCTTCGAGAACGGAGGCCTCTCTCCCTGCGAGAAAGGAGACGCCTTGCTCCGCGTTGATGACGGAGCTGCCTCGCCCCGTCTCGAGAGCGGAAAGGTCTTCCCTCTCAGTGGCAGCGTCTTGACTCCCTCCGCAAACGCAGGTCTGTAGTTCTGCGACGAAGTCGTGACCTGCGGGAGCGGAGACGTCTCCACCCGCTGCATCGTCGGAACAATCTCGTCCCGCTGCGAAGCGGGCCGCTCCCACTCCACGGAAGACGCGTTGCTTCCCGTCACCGACGCCACTTCCTTTTGCGGCGATGTCACGGAGCCACGGGCTTGTACGCCGTCTGCGCACGGTTCTTCGGCCCGCCCCTCTCTCCTGCCGCTGCGCCCGCTCCCCAGCACTGTCGGTGCCCACCCAGCCGTGCTGCCGCCAGCGCCGCTCCAGCTCCGCCTGGCGCCGGTCGAGCTCAGCCTGACGCGCGGCCGCGCGCCGCGCCGCCGACGTCTGGCCGGCCGGCACCAGCGACAGACGGCGCGCCTCGTCCGACGAGCCGGGCGAGCTACGCAGCTGGCGCAGCGCCTCGGAGAGCGAGCCGGCCGGCAAGGCGGCCCCGGCCGACTCGCTGCGCGGCGAGTCAGCTGACGCGGCGGCGGCGGGAGCGTCCGACGGCGCTCGGCCGTCCAGCGACTCCGGCCGTGCCGCGTCGCTCAGGGAGTCGGGTCCGGCGACGCCGACCGGCCGCACCCTCCCCAGCGACGCGTCTCCGGCCGCCGAGGTCGCGTCGGGCCGCTCCGGTGGCGCGCCGGCCGCGCCCATTACGGCCAAGACGCGCGCGGCGCGCCCGGCCGGCCGGCGACCGGCGCTGCCCGCTGCGGCCGGCGGCGCGGCGCCGGAGCCGCGGCCGCGCGGGGCAGCGCCAGCATCGACGGGCGCCGGACTGCCGCGGCCGACGGCAGCCGGAGGGGCCACGGGCGTGGCGAAGGCGACGCCGAGCTCTCCGCCGACAGCGGCAACCGGTGGGATCTCGGCCTGCGGGGCAGAAACGTCGGAGAACACGAGAACACCAGCGCAAGTCACGGTTCTCAGTAAATGGACTTGTGAGCTGTGACACAACGAAGAGTTGCTTGTTAAGTCCCTAAATAATAACGCCAAAGCATAACAATGCCATCTGGACTCCTATAAATCTATTCATCGGCTGTATGAAGTACACCGTAGAATATTTCTAGACTCCATACCACGCGCAAGTGATGACATCAACGCCCGTGAACAGGTACCGCGTCCGTGGCGTGACGGCCGCGTGATATAACGACGCGACGACCGGTGACGGAGAACAGCGTGACAGGTCACCAGGTCCGTGATCATGACGTGCGAGTTTTCGACGGACAATCTCTCAAAACAGCGTATGTGTGTCATTTGTCGACCCAGCCGATACATCGAACACCAACAGCGCCACTGCCGACAGAAACCGGGCCCGCGCGACCTCGACGCATGGCCGATCGAACGCCCCCAGATCTCCACAAGCAGAGACGGTCGACGAACCGCCCGAGGGCCGCAGTGAATCGCCCGGCCACAGCACCACACGCCGACCAGCGGCAGACAGGCCGACGAGGCCGTACCTGGGAAGAGTGCACATCACCCTGCACGAGCAGGCCGGTCAGGCTGCGCTGCAGACGCCCGCACCGGTCCTCCAGCTCCGCCTCCGGCAGCTGGGAGAGCAGCACCGACCGAAGGTTTAGAGAGCTCACCAGGGGCGACACGAACGGCGCGATGGGGGCGAGCGTGACGTGGGGAGCCCCGCGGCGGCACATCAGGACGTGGCGGCGGCGAAAATAACGGCGGATTCTTTCACGGGAGAAATACATGGGCCTCTGGGAGGGCGAGGGGACGAATCCCACCATCGCCAAATTACGTCAGCCAAGACAGATAGCCGTCCAGACAGCGCCAGTAGGTAGGGGATAGCCGTCCAGACAGCGCCAATAGGCTGACTAGAGGAGGGGATGTTGCCACATAACCACACTGCTATGCACCACACAAGCTGAGCCGAACACGCCAGATACAGTAACCAAAAGCGGGGCGGTGATTCCACTCACATCAGTGATCAGCCACGAGCCAGATACCGAGAGATCAATTCTGCGCTTTGACTTGGATTGCCCGAATGCAATGGCCGCGTAGAACGCTTCTCTGGGCCCATTGGCCACTGTATGGTAGCGCTGACAGTAAGAGAGAAGAATACATACGGCTAACGTTTATTTAATACGTTGGTTGAACCGAAGAATCACAACCGGCTCCATTCTCAGACGGAGGCGGCCCTTAACAGATTGGGTAAGTGACAAGCACAAAACAAAGAATAGAAGTGAAAGAACTGTTGCCATGAAGGTCAGCGCAGCAACATTACACCTACAACCATTTGTGCATTTTACATGCATTTGTACATTTGTACATTACAATTGTAAAACGCTCTCCTTGCGCTCCACAGCTCAACCGTACCAGATTTCTCTCCCGCTGGCCTTTAAGCTCATCTGCTAGACGCTTCTGCTCCAGCCTGAATGCCTTCTTTGCTGCCGACAAGTCTTCCTGAAAAGAATGAAAGCTCACGATGAAGGGGGGGGGGGGGGGAGGGCGAGCGCGAGTTTTGTCGCAACGCAAGCATACCGCACAGCATCCGGAAACGTATCGTTTGACACGGGGCGGCTCAAACATTTAACGATGCAGCAATCACCACACGACATTCAGAAGTCAAATGGGGCATCGTGTTTTGCCCTTACAGCACGCCTCCGAGCCATTCACCGTCCTCCGTAGATGACGCAGCGAAGGTCTTTTCGCTGCCAATTTCTACCGGTACCATAACGTTGTCTTTGATATCGCCTCACGCCCCAGCCGATTCTGCATGGGCTTGTCGCCACGAGTCTCCGCCCAGATCTGGGCAGACATCCTCTGGTGACGCAAACGCCCGAGTTGCGTCCCCCCCCCCCCCCACAACACCGTCAGCACCGCGGCCACCGTGAGCTGACGCCGCCACTCACCTGCGCGCTCGGTGCCGGAGAACTGCAGGGCTCCTCCGAGTCGTCCGAGTCGAGCACCTCCCGCTGCCGACGGCTGGCCGCCGGCGCCGGGTCGCCGTTCTCTGCCTCCGAGGAGGACAGCTCTGGGGACACGGCGCACACGTCAGCACGTCACGCCAGCAGGGTCGAGGATGAGCACTGCGACGCCGCGTGACAGACAGGGAACGATGCCAAGCGGGCTCGGTGCGACAATGATCTCACCCCCAACATTATCCTCACCATCACAAATCACACGATAGTCGCCCCCACTCACCACAGCCCCATGCCCATCATCAACTCCACCATTACATTCACTCCTGCCGTCATCACGACCGTCACCGTCGCCGTCACCGCCGTCACCAGCAGCAGCGGGGCGCGCCTCACCGTCATGCGGCCGGCGCCAGGCCAGGCCGTCGGCCACCAGCCGGTCGGCCAGGTCACCGGCCGCCTCGTCCAACGGCAGGAGGCGCGCGTGCAGCGTGCCGTGCCGGTCGGCGCGCGCCCCTCTCAGGCGGCACAGCGTGCCCGGCGTCAGCTGGCGCGAGACGAACAGGCAGGCGGCCTCGCTCCAGTGCGCCGCCCGGCTGCCGAGGGGGCACCGCCGGCGGTTAAGGGGGGGGGGGGCGGGAGAGGGCAGGGGCGGGGTCGCGGACCGGACGACGGTCACGGCTTGGGGAGGCGCGGACTGCAGAGCTGTTGCGGCGTTTTCGATACGCCGCATACTCAGCGGAACGCGCATAGGCAGAGGTGACTGCGGAGGTGGAACATTCTGGCATTCTATTCAGAGAACACAACTGCAGGACATATGGAAAACTCCTAAACAGCCCGTTATTGGCATACACATTAGGCGACTCTCAATCTGTCAATATAGTCCAGCTGACTCCAAACTAAGTCCCCCTTGGCACAATCTAAGCGCTGCGTGACCAGTCTCGGCCGGTGTGACCTACTCCACGTGACACTGGACGGCGCCGGCGTCGTCCAGGCGCCAGACCAGCTCCACCGGTACCACGCCGGCCAGCCTGAGGCGGAGCGCCTGCGGCGGCAGCTGGCGCAGGTCGCAGAACGGCTCCGGCAGCCTGTACAGCTCACAGTCGGCCACCGTCTGTGGGCGGGCGCGCGGGTCACGCTGGCCACGAGCCGGCTGCACAGCTGACTGGGGGTGGGCGATCGAGTCACACGGGGAACGGGAGTGACCACGTCACGCCTAACCAACGGTTAGAACACACGGAACCAAGGGGTTAGGTCGCATGGGACCAAAGGGTTAGGCCACATGGAACCAACAGGTTAGGTCACACTCGGGGGAATGGTCTGCTCACACTGGAGAAACGTTCGGGTCGCAATGGGGAAGACAGCCCCTCACAGCCCCTCCCCCCAGGTGGAATGTCACGTGTTAACCGCTTGACGATTATGCCCTTTTCGTTCGTGACAGTAACGGTCCTCGTCATCTAATGTTGAGACAAAGAGCATCATCATAAAGAGCAGAGTATGCACGGAGCATCGTGTATAAAAGCCATTACACCGTCACTTTTCCACATCTGTTGCCAGTTGATTAAAAAAAAGGAAACCTTCTCGTTGCTGCCGATTTCGGTCGCAAAGGACAGGTTATTTCCAACCATAGTTCTAACATCGGCACGAGGAGCCACTGCGCCGGATTTGACGCTGTTCAAACACAACCTTGCGCGGAGCGCGAACACATAGCTAAAACCATTCGGAAACGAGATTTCAGCCAACGGTCAATGGACGATTTCATCATCTACTATATAAACATTCCTGTCCAGTCCACACACTTATTCCGAGTCCATACGATGCCAATGTTACCGTCCATGCGAACAACTATGCCCGGAGCCGCTCCGACAGAGGATCGACACCCTTCGATGCGTCCCCAGTCGCTCCGACAGGAGCACCGACGCATTCGGACGCGTCCCCAGCCGCCCTGACAAGAAGACCGACACCCTCGGACGCGCCCCAGCCGCTCCGACAGGACGACCGACACACTCAGACGCGTCCCCAGCCGCTCCGACATGAGGACCGACACACTCGGACGCGTCCCCAGCCGCTCCGACATGAGGACCGACACACTCGGACGCGTCCCCAGCCGCCCTTACAAGGAGACCGACACTCTCGGACGCGCCCCAGCCGCTCCGACAGGACGACCGACACACTCGAACGCGTCCCCAGCCGCCCTGACAAGAAGACCGGCACCCTCGGACGCGCCCCAGCCGCTCCGACAGGAGGACCGACACACTCGGACGCGTCCCCAGCCGCCCTGACAGGAGGACGGACACACTCGGACGCGTCCCCAGCCGCTCCGACAGGAGGACCGACACACTCGGACGCGTCCCCAGCCGCCCTGACAGGAGGACCGACACACTCAGACGCGTTCCCAGCCGCCCTGACAGGAGGACCGACACACTCGGACGCGTTCCCAGCCGCCCTGACAGGAGGACCGACACACCCGGACGCGTTCCCAGCCGCCCTGACAGGAGGACCGACACACTCGGACGCGTCCCCAGCCGCCCTGACAGGAGGACGGACACACTCGGACGCGTCCCCAGCCGCTCCGACAGGAGGACCGACACACTCGGACGCGTCCCCAGCCGCCCTGACATGAGGACCGACACACTCGGACGCGTCCCCAGCCGCGGCCGGAGGCCTCACCTTCCTCTCGCCGTCGTCCAGCAGTAGCACACTGCAGCACGGCGTGGCGGCGCTGCGGAAGCGGGCCAGCACGCGCACGCGGTACCACCGGTTCGTCGCCGGCGGGTGGTACACGTACACCTGCCAAAACAGGACCGCGCGCGCGTCAGCAGGCGTGATTAAGACGGCCCGAACAGACGCGGGTGTCGCCACCGGGCGGAGGTAAGTGAGTATGTGAGCACACATACACCCAGGCCAGAGCTGCAGGACACGACTGGGCTGACGTCTGTGCGGAATGGTCAATGGTGCCGTCAACGCCACCATTGCACCAATAGCAGTTTAAATTATGGTCTCAGTTTAAAGCTGATCGATAATGTCACTTGTGATATGCTAGGGATAGTGCAGGCGACACGGAAATCTTGAAAACCGGCTGTAATATGGCTTAAAAGGGAATAGATGGCATTCACAGACGCCGATCATACCGGAGAAACACCCAACACAGCTGGTGGTCAGCCGCGAGCCCACAACCTTGAGGTTTTCTCCAGCATGTTTCTGCTGAGCTGAGCGGACAGAATCTCCTCCACCGCATCCATTTCTACGAGTGTCCCTTACCTCTCCTTGTTTAACGTTTGACTCCATCTTCAGATGATGTCTCTGCTTGGTACAGACTTCCACCATCTGCTGCTTAATTTTCATAAACCTGCAAGGACAAATCAATACACATACGCCGGAACATTTTACCGGATGTGCTTGTAGGCTGCCACATGCAGCAAGTTAATAACCAGATGCTGTCATTATCTGAAACTCACACCTCACTACTACAACACCCAAAACATTTCTAACAAAGGGCCCCCGATTTGTTTTAATAGCCACAACCGAGCCAGGGCGCGGTCAAATAGATCGCGTTCCTTTCAGGACAACTTGACCGCGATCACTCGACACTGACCCACGAGTCCAAGGTGGCAGGGGTGCTGAGCGCAGCGTGGCGGCGGCCGCCACCTCTCACCGGGTGTCGTCGGTGACGCTGGCGGGCGTGGCCCAGATCTTGTTGGGCGCCGTCGCCTCGGTGATGGTCACCGGGCCGGACCAGGGAGGCGCTGCTCCTGGCTCCGACATGACCCCTGTAAATGTGCGCAGCATTAGCGAGCACTCCAGTCTTTGCTGCACCACTTGATTGCATTCCTTTCACCTGGTGTGACAATGGCTAGCTGCATGGTGCACAGAAAGAAAACAATACAACAGGTAAAATAAACCAAAATGGCAAATAACATACAAACAAAATATGATGTCAGGCAGAGCAAAATATGATCATGCAATGTTTATTTTATGTGCATCAGGTATGCCATCCCCCTGAACAGAAACAAAAATTTGGCAATGTATGCACTAATTCATTTCATGTGATGGTAACAATATACTTCCCTCAAAATATACCACATGCAGTTTTGTTCTCAAATATTACAACCAGGCAGGGAATGCTAACAATGCTAAGAAGTGCCAGGAGCAGTGGCCACATGGAAAATGACAACAATGAAACATGGATACACAGTCATGCTTTGTAACCAGTCAGAATCATCAGCAAAGGAAGGGAAGAGGGGGCCACCAGCCATCCATCCAACCAGAAGGCCAGCTTGCCCACAACTGAAATGAAATTGGATGCTGGGGTCATCACAAATCCATGGATCCTGGGGTATGATCCCAGGCTCCAGGGATTTTGGGGTAGAGTCCTAGTGCCTGAACATGGAACAATTATTGGCCCTGAGCCTCCTTTTATAGACAGAAAAAGCCAAGCCCCTCATTCAAAATGGCATGAAGCAAAGGGTAAAGCCAGCTATATACAAATAGTAAAAACTGAACCTAAAATCCCTAGAGAAAACCAGTGTCCATATGAAGCTGAGCTGAAGCTGGCTTTATTTCTGTCTGTTTCAGTCCTGTATGACCACACAAAGCCACAGGTAAAGTCTTATGTTACATGGTGCACAAATACTTGGATGGTAATTCCAGGTCAAATAGAATCAGCCTTGCAAACATCTACTTGGCTCCATTCTGCATGCCTTCTGAGTCAAGGTCATGTACAGTCATGCCCAACTTTTATAAAACATTGAGACAGCAGATTTTATTTTGCATGCTAAACTGGCTACTTATTACCAAAATTTTCATCATTCAAAGTAACATCACAGCTTCATTCAAAATTTATCCAGTAGGGTGTCCAAGACATAGATAAAACTTTGCACTTCCAGAATCCTGGTTCTCTGGCCGCCCTCAACACAGTTCACTGGCACTACCCTGTTGCTGTTTGACCATGAATCCAGACACCTCACCTGGCCAGCCCATGAGTCAAGCCTTAAACATTTAGACATTACATTGAATCACTGGGGTTTAAGGTTATTCAACACTACATGCCATGTCCATGAGAAACTGAAGCAAATGTGCAGTCTGCTTTTCAGCAGGGTTGATTTCAGCCCTTCCCTTGAGAGTTCTTTCTTCCACCTTCCACTACTGCATCTTTCCACATTGGGTCAAGCTTAGGCTGTAAGGCAATGAAAAACTGGGCCCTGTACAGGTTGGCATTATAACAAAATCACCAAATCATTTGTAAAATGAGGTCTTGAAAGGTTCTCAATTCTTGTAAAGCCACCCTATGATCCACTTGTTCTATTCAAGTTTCATTACACAGCAGAAATCCGAGCGAAGGAGCCGAGGTTATCATTTTTTTAGGCAACCCCCATCCTCTTGTTTTACCAATTTTTGCTGTGCCACATCCAACGGGTGTAATCTTGATCCAAATCCGTCGTTTGCCAACCTTGGTTTTGAAGGCAAAAAGCCGATCGACCGGTCCCTTTTCTTCTCTGAATGGCAGTGAACGACCTAACCGTTGTGACAATTTTGTAAGACGTCAGAGGGCATCACACCACGGGCAAAACAACTGATTATCAAAACAACTGTCCAGAGCATCCCGCCACGCCGGGTCCAAACAATATTATTCGTACAAAATGCGCCACTTCTGAAATAGTGTAGTAATACCAAATCAAGAAAAAACTTGCACGGAAAGTTTTAATTGAAAGCATTTGCCATATCACATCGCCACTGGAGATTAAGCTTTGCAGCTCTTTGTATGGAAAATTGTTAAAGGCTTTTCTGCTGTGTTATAAAACTTTTAAACGCACAAAAATGGCACGTTTTTTTATTTATAAATTTTTCTAGGACCACCTTATTAACAGCTGAAATTTGGCAGCACATCATGGCGTCCGTTGTTTGTAAACACGTCGTACATAGTGCTCCGAACACGGCGGTGTTTTCAAAAAGTCGCCAGTTACGTGATTTGAAGAAGCTGTGTCGTTGATTACGGATAGGATAAGGAAATGCGACTCAGTCGTTGCAAATTTGGCTGTGTTGGTTCAAGCAAATAGAAGTTGGTTCATTCCGTGGTGGTGTGGCAATCGTAAGTTAATGCAATGGAGGTACGGGCATGCAGGCCATGCTAAATACAGACTCCAAAAAATGCATGTAGCGCTGAACGTGGTTGAGTGGCGATGTCGTAGTAAAAATTTCAGTGCATGTGCGCCGTAAATCTGGGTACACAGAGCTTGGCACACAGTCACCATCAAAGTTAGTGCATAGAGAGGCAATGTGTTTCAGAGAATTATAAGGTAAAGGTAACATAATTCCAAAAGAGCGGGCAAAAATCCCAAAAGTATTTTTCACACCCAAAAAATAAAAGTACTGGGCAGTATGAACTGGTGAGAGCTGAGAGCATGCAACTGCAATGCTCTTTACACCCCTTTCATGTAGATGCCTGGTGCAATGAATGGATTTTTGCTGACTGATACCTGCTGTGTCACCTATTTTTGCTAGTCATCTCAATTCACTTTTAGCTCTTGACCTGGCATTCTGCATAGCCCTGCTATGAGGGATGATTATTATCACTTCTTGGAAACCAGGTACTAGATGCCAGCCTTTACCTTGTAAATGTTGGTGATCTGCTTTCCAGCATGCAAACCATGGCAAACATGCAAGAAGATGTTTTGTTTGAGCAGAACCTTGCCTCAGATAAGATATCAAATGTACCATTATGGGCAGACTTTGTCAATGTGGCTAACATTCCAAGTCAGGAGCTTGAACCAAAAAGGTATATTAACCAAAATCTGGTGCAGTTTATAATAAAAGTTAACCAAAGTGTCCTTTGTGTCCCTTAGTGTTAATATGCACCCAACAGCACCATGTTCTTAGGTGCTAATATGCACCCAATTTGGCATATCTATGACAAGCACTATGATATCTTCCTTCACTTATCAGGCTGATGCAAATACAATAGTAGGATTTATTTAGTTGTTTGGCCCCAAAATGCATGCTGTTTATCCCTGCTACACCAGACTGTCTCACAAGCATTGGCACCTCTTCCTGACTATAAGATGCTCATGATATTCCATCATAAACGCCAGCTGCTCGTCAAAGAAAAGTCTTCAGGACTGTGTGCATTTTGAAGGGCAAGTAGTCAACTGTGGGTAGCCAAAAGCAGTTATGAACTGTGTCAGGGCCAACAAATTTTTTGTGAGCTTTTTTTTGGTAGGGTACCCTGTGAACTTTGTTTTTGTTACTTGTCTTGCTGCTAGAGCAGCACTCAGTCCTATGTGTCCAGTTCAGGACATCACAGCTTTCTTCTCCTTCTGGGTGCTAATGCAGGGCCACATTATCCTTGTGTCAGCACTTTGGCATGGTGATTACTAGTCCACTTGATTTCGTGCACCCCAAAATCTACAGCCACTGCCACCCAACTGACTAATCCTCCTGGCTTGCCTGCAGCACTATCACCATGCCGTCGATGGCCAGCACGGTGGGCGGCACCAAGTTCGGCACGCCGCAGATGCTGACGGACACGGTGGGACGGCTATCGGGCCGCCTAGCCCGCGGCAAGGGCACGCAGACCAAGTGCGTCGACTCCGTGGCGGCCAGCTTCGCGCTGAGGTGAGCCAACGAGGGGCGGCGAAGGCTCGCTGATCGACGGCGCGTGGAGAGGGCAGCGAGAGGGGCACTGAAGGGTGCAGCAAGGGAGCTGGCGGAGTAGAGACCAGCCTGTCTGCCGGCAGATGGAGTGGGGTCAACTGTTCCGACGTCACCTAGCTTCTGGCGAAGTCTGCTGACCGGCCAGGCCCTGCTGTTATCTAACCGGAGCTGTTGTTCGGCGTGTTCCTGTCGGGCCGATGACTAGTGATGTACCGCGACCGGTCTCTCGCCACTGAAGTCGACTTGCGTAACACTAGCCAGACGGCAGCATAACGACCAATGCGGGGCGCTGAAGCCAGCATCGGTCTGTGCTGCCGCCTGACTCTGGCGGATCCTTCCTCTCGGCAGCACCAAGCACCGCCTGCTGGCCGTCAGCCCGGACGACACCGACACGCGCAGCCTGCACGCGCTGGTGCTGACGTTTGACGCGGACGGCGAGAGGCTGCTGATCGGCACGGCTCAGGGCGCCGTCTACAAGGTCGACCTGCTCGCCTTCAGGTAGGCGCACGGCCGGCTCCGCCGAACGCGGCGAGAGCCCGTGGCTGGCTCCGCCGAAGGCGGCGAGAGCCGGTGGCCGGCTCCGCCGAACGCGGCGAGAGCTTACGACCGGCTTCATCGAACGCGGCGAGAGCCCACAGCCAGCCCCGCCGAACGTGACGAGAGCTTACGATTGGCTTCATCGAACGCGGCGAAAGCCCATGGCCGGGTGGATCAAGCGTTGCTCTGGGGTGACCGCAGTTGCCTTGTTGTGTGGCGCTCCGTGCGTGCGGTGGGCACGGAGGAGGAGTGGAGCGTGTGACCACCAGTAAGCCGCCGCTGTTCTCGGAGGCGGCTGACTGTGCTTGATCCCGTGACGTCAGCGGGTCTCGCCCCATGGCCAGGTTCCATCTGATAGCGTACGTGCCGGACGTGATCACGTGCCTGACGGTGCTGGCCGGCGAGGCGGACCGCTGCGTGGTCGTCGGTCAAAAGAACGGCCACCTGCTCAGCATCAACGAGGGTGAGGCAGCCTGGGGTCTGCGGGCACTCGGCGGGAGGGGCTCCGAGTGTGCCTTATTCTTGGTACGCGGGGGCCGGCAGTGTGTGTAGTTAACAGTGACTATATTACACTGGCTGTGTTCCCGGAGGCAAGCGACAAGGGCAACACATGCAAACCATTTGAAACTGGCTGGGTAGTTGAGCTACGTTGCTTACCGTCCCCGTTATTTTATTTCGCCGTGTGTGATGATAGCGCATTTGAGCTATTCGGTTACTGCTTAACTCTTTACATTACCGTTTTGTTGTCGGCTATTCACTGGTTTTCTTCTCTAGCTGTGCTGTCCTTTACGACATGTGCAACCATGCACACACAGAGCCAATTCGCTTTGTGAATCTGCCCAGCGCATCACGGGGAGGGGAGGGGAGGGGGGGGGGGGGCTGCTGGTGTTTAGCTTGTGGACGTGGATGCGGGCGTTATTGGCTTGTCTCATGGCAATCCTCCGCTGTATGCCTTTCCTCTCCGACCTTTTCCGTTTCGTTTCCTCCCTTCGTTCTTGCCTCCTTCAGTTCTTTCTTCCCTTCCACTTCCGTTTCCCTACATTTGTCTAGGTCTATTAATGCCTAGCTTTCGTATTTTTGTCACTGCATCTGCATTGTTGACTTGGCCACCCATCACGTGCTCACTTTTTCAAGTGACTTCATTGTCAGCCGATTACTCCATCTCGCTCCCTTCTTCCCGGTCCCCACCCCTCGTTGCCCCACCGTTCGCCGCGGCCGTCGGCCCCCTGACCACGTGCACCGTCTGGCGGCAGTGACGCACGAGCGGGCTGGCCAGCGGGGGGCGCACAGCGGCGCCCTGCTTGGCCTCTGCGCCGGCCAGGCGGCCACCGTCTGCAGCTACTCCCGCAACGAAGCGTTCGTCTGGCGCGGCGGTGAGCTGCGCAAGCTCTACCAGCTCCACCTCAACAGCAGCGCGTTCATCGTCAAGGTGAGGCGAGGTGTGAGGCTGGGCGAAGCCGCAGTGTGGGAAGAGAGGATGGGTGACATATGACCAGAGTAGTCAGCGCGCTCTGAAGCCCAAATGGTCATCATCAGTTTGGTATGAGAGCGGGGAGGTAGCCGATGGTCTGAGTTGGGAATGAAAGTCTGGTACGAAATAACACGGCAGGTCTCGTCTGGTTAACGGTGCAATTTTTAGCCGTCTCTAGACGAGCCAGTGGCTCATACTGGGCATTGACACATTCACTGTCACAAAACGTGGCTTTTCTATTGGCATGCTTGACGGTCTTTCGTTAATGTAAGAATGCTTTGTCCTCGAGTTTTGTGCATTTGTACAGAAAGACGTATTTACAAACAGCATATGGGTTATGTTGTTATGACAGCGATACTGGCTGATGTCATCGCATTGCCTCCCGGCCGCGCGCCAGGTAATGCGACCGACACCTGCACCGCACCGGAGCCGCGATCCACTCCCCGTGTGCCGCTCCCTGCCGCCGCGGCCCCTCCTCCGTGCGCCGCTGCGTCGCTACGGTGCCATCCCCCTCCGCCGCCCGCCCCGCGTGACGCCGCCTCGGTCGCCAGATGTCGTTCCTGTCGGACTCGACGCTGCTGGGCGCGTTCGCCGACGACTCGGTGTACGTCTGGTGCCTGGAGAGCCTGCGGGTGGCGCACGAGGTGCTCCAGCTGAGCCGACACCGCGCCGGCGTCGCCGACGTCGCCGCCGCCGAGTCAGTACACACGGCCCGGGGCAGGGGTCGGCACGTGACGGCGGCTGGGAGGCGCCGCACTGCAATGATCAGTTGTCTACAATTATCAGCTTTTAATTATCATGCGGTTATCAGAGTGAAGGGAGGGGACGTACTACCGCGGGCTATGTGTGAAGCGTGACAATGCCAGGTGAAAAACGTTTGTGATATTTGTCTTCTGCTAACAGCATATACGTTGTCATATGATGTTAAAGGTGACGCATCATTTCTTTACTTTCTTTTTCTTGCTGTGGCTGAAAATAGACGGATATTGTGTGATAGATTCCCCGTCTGACGATACGCATTCTTGTTCGTGCAACATACGCCAGGCCGGCGCATCGTTAGATGTCAGTTCTGCCGGGCTGGAGACTTAGCCCTCACATCTGATTCTGTCCTCACAGCTGACTGTCGTCACATCACTGACTCCACCCTCACATCACCGGGTCCACCATCACATCACTGAATCCACCCTCACACCACTGAGTCCATCCTCACATGATTTGATTCCACCGTCATATCACTGACTCCACCCTCGCATAATCTGACTCCACCCTTGCGTCATCTGACTCCGCCCTTACATCTCATCCCGCCTTCGCATCGCTAACTGAGCCCTCACATCCAATTCTTCCCCACGTGTGACCCGCTTTCTGTCCGCACCAGGGACTGTGACTTGTTCTACGCGGCCGGCAAGACGAGCCAGGTGTTCGAGTTCAGCCTGGCCGAGTCGCGCGTCACGCGAATCTTCTCGTTGCCGGAGGGCAGCGGCCACGTGGCCCAGCTGCTGGTGTTCCCCGGACCGTTCCTTGGACAGGTGAGCGCCGGCCGGACCGCGAGACGCTTCCCGAGACGGCCGGCACGGCCGCAGGTGCTGGCGACTGTGACGGCGGGAACGGTGTTTCTAAAACGGCTGTGTTTGGTGTTCGGGGGTCATAGCAGCGTGTCTTCCATGTAGCCATCTGCCGCCCAGCAGATGTTGTGTTACCAGTACCACGTGCGACGGTTGGTGCTTCCATTTCTGTTGGCTAATTTCGCCACATTTGACGTTTTTCTCCGACAACCAAGGCCCGGGCCGGTCGAGCCGCAGCATTGCACGGCACTTAAAACCCTTCCATTCCTGTCAGGCCAAAGGACGGAGGCAAAGATATCCGCTGAAATGGACAGCCCGACTTGGGCGGTGTGCTCAGGGTACGCGCGATAAGCCTTGGCTAACAATGATTCTGAACCCAAAGCCACTCATGGAGACCACTCGAATAAATGTCTGTAAAAAACGACGCCCCGACAACTTTTGATTGTGACATTGCGCGGCACCGTGACAATTAAGTGACCAGAGCGTCACGTAGTCGAGACAGCGCCGGTTTGAAATCATGACCTGTCTTCTGTCGTCTGTCTGACGCGTCCCGGCCCGCCCTTTTCTGCTCCACCGCTCACCTCAACACGCCCACACAGTGACGTCGGACAGCCGTCAGAGTCCTATTGATCAGCCCGTCTATCGCGGCTTAAGGGATTACATACCATACATTTTTTTGTGCCGCTGGACTCCCGGGCTTTGATCGCTGTCTGGGATTAACAATCCGTCCGACGGTCAGTCTCGCCGCCGCAGATCGCCGCCGTGATAGTCTAGTGGTTAGGACCTCGCGTTGTGGCCGCGATAACCCCGGTTCGAATCCGGGTCACGGCATGTCGGCTTTTGACATTTCTATGATACTTATACATGGTCTAAGGTGACACGACAAATATCCCCTTAGCATAGCCGTCTTTGAATGTCGCTGGTTGTTCCATTTGTCTGGTTACTGTAATGTAATGAGGCTTGTGATCACTGACGGTAGTTTGATCCTGCTGTGCTCAGGGTTATTGTGATTTCGAATACCCTTGACACTGTGGTGATACAAAGCCGTTCACGAAACAAGTCATATGTGATTTTAAGCCTCTTGGTCCATCAGTGACTTCATCGGGGTAAAACTAGTTTCCGCCACTTTCAAATGGTACCAGATAATATTGGTTTAAATGTCAGAAACTCCAAAAAAACGTGCGTTTTTGGGCAGTTATCAACTTTGATACGATCACGACTTTCAGGCCATTTTTGTTGATGCATCTTACGACAAACTGCATTTGTAGTATGTTGATAATGACAGTAAGCTGTTATTTTGCTTCGTTAGTTAACCCTCGCCTTGATCCGCCGTTTTTCATAACGCGGACTGGCTAAGGTGTGGGGGGGGGGGGACGATGCGAACCCCTGTCATTTCGATACTTATGAAGATAGAGCTTAGCAGAAAACACCATTGGTTTGGTCTCAACCAGATCTCGCGATTGATAACAGTTTTATGTGACTAGGTCTGTAATTGACCCATTGTACTAGGTCAAAGGTCAAATTTTCCCGAAAATCACACTTTTTACCTTTTCAACCTCATACATGCGTGACCTTGTCTCGCAGCGGCACAAAATCCAAACCACCATGTCCTTTGCTTAATTCTAAGTGCAATGGTGTACAGCTTTATGTGTCTTGAGTATATCCTTACGATACATCACTCTGTCAATGCAACAATGTCGACCCGCCGCGCTGCTCCGAAGCCGGGAAGGCTAGGAACACAGGTCTTGACGTCAAAACACGCGCAATGGGTGCTCGATGCTCCAAAAAATTGAGTTGAGCACAATTGCACAACATGACGGGTAGATATAAAAAGGGTCCGGGGTTGAGACGCATCATTCCCCCCCCCCCCCTTCAGGGCAGGCTAAGGGAACATGCCCACAATATTTCAGTCTTCGCCATTGCTGCCCGTTTGTGCCACCTTTAATTTCCGCCAGTTGGTTTCAAGCGGCTAAAACTGGCCGACAGGAGCTGTCTCAGTCGGCTGCAGCTTGCTCTACCTTTTACAGTGGTTGGAACGTTTCACGATGAGCTTCCATTACGGTGGAAAGTCCATTTGTTTACACGCATCGCAAAGGGTCTGTATTCCCTTGTTTTTGGCTTCGAAAAGGGCACACGTAAAACGGTGGACTCAAAACATGAAACGGCTGCCGACCACATATGGCCAGAAAAACCAAGGATCCGTCAGTTGATCTCGTCGATTCATGGGCTTTCACTCCACGGTTTTAATTGTTTTGTGACCCCAGAGCATGCGGAATGATCGAAGATAAATCGGTGCATTTCCACGCTTATCCTTTCGTTAAACTAATCGCTAAGGACAAGCCTTACGTATAGCTGGCTTAGCTTGCTGGCTTAGCTATAGCTTGGTATAGCTTACGCCTAGCTTGCAATGCCATCATGCTGCCGAAGTGTGCCGCTACATTCTCCTGCCTCCGTCGCAGATCCTGGGCGTGCTGCTGGAGAGTGGAGTGGTCAAGTTCATCCACACGGAGACGGGCCGGGTCGTGCAGAGTCTGAACAACGCCCGGCATAGCATCGGTCAGTGACGGCAGCAGCGAGGTGGTCGGGCGACCCGCGCGGCCCTCTCTCCTGCCAGGGAATATCCCTCTGTGATGTACCGAAGGGTCGGCCGTGGACATCGTTCATTTTTTTTTAGGAAAGCGGTCTGTCGCTTTATCTGCAGGACAAGCGGTCTTTGATTTATCAACCCATTGCTTGCGCTCGCCGCCGTGATAGTCTAGTGGTTAGGACCTCGCGTTGTGGCCGCGATAACCCCGGTTCGAATCCGGGTCACGGCACGGTGGTTTTAGTTGCCGGATGGTGTAGAGTCAGCACAGGTGTCTCAGGCTACAGATGGTGTCACACGTGCGATAAGTGATATGCGTGAAGGTACGCTCATAATGTATGTGTTGATATCGCTAGTATAATATATAGCTTCTGATGTATATATGTACATGTGTATAAGACCTGAGGTTTCCTAATTATAGAAAAGGAACTATAAACACATGTAAGTTTATGTATTTACACATATATACATATATTTAGTTATATATATATATATATACATATATATATATATATATATATATATATATATATATATATATATATATATATATGATGACGCGAACGGTGTTCGAACCGATCCCCCGACGTGGAAGTCAAAGATGCCAACCACTTAGCCATAACGCTCCCGTCACCGCCACGCAAAATCGAAACTTGCGCAAGGTTGACTTTGCCAACAAGCCTGTTTGTCATCGCATGCTCCCTGTCATCTTCTGTGGCCGCGCTTCTGCCTGCGCCGTCCGGTCTCCCCAGCGGCACGGCGTCCCCTCGCGCCCTGACCTCCGCCCCCTGACCTCCGCCCCCGGGCGCCGGCAGCGCACACCGTCGCCAGCCGGTCGGGCCTGTTCCTGGCCTGCCTGCTCGACTCGGGCCAGATCTGCCTGCATCATAGCACCGGTGACGTGTTCCGCCGTATCGTGCTGCCTGAGGTGTTCTACGACAACAAGCCGCGCGTCACGCTGGTCGACGACTCGGCCACGCGGGTCCGGCTGCCGGCGGCGGCGACGCCGGCCGGCACCGCGCAGCGCGCCGCTAAGGTGTGCCCCTGGGCAGCCATCTGCGCAGGGCGGCGGGCGCAGGGACATAGGATGGACAAGGCGTTGCATGATTGAAGAAAGGGTGCGAGCAGTCTTAACCGGTATTGCGTTTTTTTCATCTGTGCTGGTGGACCAACGACAGAAACGTAACAAATCTCACCATGATGTTTTGATGAAAACGGCAACAAGAATCGCCATAACTTGTGTCTTAAGGCGGGGTTATTCTCTCGTCAATTGTGTTTCATCCCAGGTGACTGCCGAAGCCTTCTCCACCCCGCTACTTCTGTGGACCGCTGCTGACCTTGCCGTCGCTGTCGCAGCGCGGCAAGACGCCGCTGCTGAACACGGCGCGGCTGGCGCCGATCGTGCGCGAGCAGGGCGAGTTCCCGGCCCAGTACCGGCAGCTGATCTGGCGCCACGTGCTGGAGCTGCCCGGCGCGCACGCGCTGTACGTGACGCTGTCCGAGCGCGGCCAGCACCCGGCCTGGAGGCACGCGGCGCAGCGCTACCCGGTCAGGGAGGTGGCCGTCGCCAGAGTGCTGGCCAGGTGAGCGGGTGTCAACACCGTCAGCTCGCAGCTGGCGGGACGGGTCACCCCACCCGGTCACCTGTCCCAGGCGCTAGGCGTCGGTCCCGGTCGAGGGTTGAGTGCCCGGGTGATCATTTCCAGCGGCCAGTCCCAGCGGCCAGTTCCAGCGGGAGAGAGTGCCACCGGTGCTGGACCGGCGCGACTCCCGACAGAGTACACAGTGCACCGCACGGAAAGGGGTCAGTGCCACAACGGGTGGCGTGCTTCTTCAGTCTCGCCTCCTCACAGCGCACGGCTCTGTCCGTGTACGTCCCCCCAGCGCTGGGATTATGCCGTGGGCGGCCACTGGCGGGGCTCCGCCGTTTGTTTCGACGGGGCCCCAGGCCCACCCGAGCACTGGCCGGGCCCCACCGGCCACAGGGCCGAGTGTGCTGTGGGAAGGACGCCAGTCACCGCTTTGACGCGACATGATGCGAACGAGGAGAAGGGGCTGCACCCATTCGAACCAGCCGTATCGCGTCGTTTCTTTGCAACCCGCCATACCACCAATTATGTGTTTTATTTTGCTTGATTATTTTGAGCCATGTTTACCCATTTTGTTTCGTCTTAAAGTTCCAGCTTTATTTGAGTCTAGGAACATGACTCGACTAACATCGCTCTATTGGGCGTTTTGTATTTGCTGAGACAAATATGACTGCATAGCATGATTTATCGCATGTTCTGGACACCATGCCACCGTTTTGCTTGTTTCGTTCCGCCACGCCCGCCGTCTGTTTGTTTTCGCCGAATCGGTTTACGCCGCGTCGCGCCGACCGGCGAGCCCGCCTGACGCCGCCGCCGGCCCTCTGACTGCAGCACACTCTCGGCGCTGGCCTGGTGGTGCCCCCTGTTCGCCGAGGTCGAGTTCCTCCCCTACTTCGTGTTCCCCTTCTGTAGCGTGTTCTCGGCCGACCCGCTGGCCGCCCTCGAGACGGTCATCACGCTGCTCGGTGAGAGGCACGCGCAGGCTGGGGGGCAGCTAGGGGCGTGCTGTAGCTGACCACCTGGGAGGGAATGCCTGTTAGGTCTGCTCCTTGTTCTCATACGCCAGGCATCGACGCACATCGTGTCGAAGCAAGCGAGAACTGTTTGGAAAAGAGCTTCTCATGTAATCGTTTAAAAGGGCTTTTCTCGTGTAGGTCCAAACAGTGACTAAATGTAGCGTTTGTTCGTGTACAGGCTGCGTGACAACGTTTATTTAAAGCCTTTGTCAGTTCATCGATGTCATTTTGTGTGGTCACCGCCGTGATAGTCTAGTGGTTAGGACCTCGCGTTGTGGCCGCGATAACCCCGGTTCGAATCCGGGTCACGGCACGGCAGTTTTAAGCGCCCACGGTTGCGGGGCGGCATGAGCAAGATTGCCTCCGTGCTGCCGCCGCCACCTACGTACCCACGCATTACACTGCAGGCAATCACGTCCTTACGTGATAACCAATAGTTCCCCCACTACGAATGTGGCCGCTGGTCTCCGGGTCGCTCCGTATCACGACCGCCGTGCGTGTTTCGCGTACTCGCCACAGTAAACTGGTGCCAGCGGTGGTTCGAGTTCTTCCCGTACCCGCCCATCTCGGTGCTGGGCATGGTGGAGAACATGCTGGCGCACCACTGCCCCGAGCTGCTGCGACACTACATGGAGCTGGGCGTCACCGCGCACGTGTACGGCTGGCCCCTGCTCGAGACCGCCTTCTCCGAGGTGACCGCGGCGGAGCGGGTCGGGGACGGCGCTGTCGGGTGTGGCCGCGGCCGTGAATCAGGCGGGGTCTTCTCAGCGTCTGTCGTGGGACGATGCAGGGTCCACACACCACTATCGTGGCGGCCCCATTGAAGCCTTCGCCGAGCTTGTCGTGATGTTGAAATTATGCGTCGATCACATTCTTGTTGTGATTGCATGTAACAGTGTAATGTGACGTTTCTGTTGCCTACCCCGCAGACTCATAGTAAAGTGACATAAAGGAATTGCTCCTCTGCTCACTACGATACATATGCGTGTGTTTTGTGTTTTTTTCGTTTTGTTTACGGAAACTTTTGGGAAGGACTTTATTTTCTACGTAAATTCCGAACAAGTATCGTGAATGTGGATGATCAGGAAGAAGTGGACAGGCTTTTTTGTGCAGTGCCGTATTGATCTGGTCCTAACAAGATGTGCTCGTCGTCAGGTGTTCACCCAGAACGACTGGCTGGTGGCCTGGGACCACATCCTGACCAACGACCCGTCCTACATGCTGGCCGTCGTCATCTCCTACAACGCCGTCTCGCAAGCGGCTCTGCTGCGCTGCAAGACGGCCGACGACATCAGCGTAAGCACGTCAGGCGCGTCCTGGTGATGAGTCGACGCTGTGGTAAGGGGCCGGGCTCGCTCGTGATGATCTTACACCCTCGGTGTGCAATTGTTAGTGCAAGCCCGAACAGGTGTGACTTCGGGGAATGCGATATTGCGAACCACATCCCAAATGGGACGCTGGCGGCCCGTGGATCACCATCCGAGTGCCATTGTCTCAGTGGATGGCTGCCGTGGCGACTGATTATCAATCTCGGGACATTTTGTGCGTGGGCAGTAGACTGAGCACTGCGGCACCCTCGCGCCGCCAGTACTACTTCCGAAACCAGAACGTGGTGAGCGTGCGGCACGTGGTACGGCGCGCCTACGTCATCCACGAGTCGACGCCGGCTGACATCCACCCGCGCGGCTTCATGGAGAAATTCGAGGCCATCGGCGCCGAGGCCTACCCCGTCTTCAACAAGTACCCGACCTTCATCGTCAACCACCAGGTGAGGCTGGCTGCACAGCAGTTGCTGTTAAGTATATCAAGTAGCTTGAAGTCACGTCCAGGCCGTGATGACGTGGACCGCAAACAATGTGCTGTTTGCTCGGGCTGGTGAGCTGTTATTAAGTGCCCCCCCCCCCCCAAACTGCTGGCGTAAGTGAGTTGGCATACGCCAACGATTACAATTTTGTTTTCTTAGCGTGCATTCAAACAGGACGGAAACGTTGTAGGTCGTGCCCAGGCCTGAATAGTATAACGTGTTGTCGCCTTTAAGAGGACTCCGTTGCCATCCGGGGACCGGTTGCGTTCAGTCGTGGCAGCCGATCATGCGTCACCTCCGAAGACAAAGTGAAGGGGCGGGGCTCTGTGTTGTGCCGATAGCGGGGGCGTTGGATGTGACTCCGACCCCAAGCTGAGTCGGACCGGACCCTGACCTCACACACGATCTTTGACCTGAACCCTCATCCCAGTCCTGACCAAACGCGGTGCGACCCTTGACCCGGCAACGATCCGATGTCTGACCTGACCCCTGTCCTAACCTTTAGCCGGACACCTGACCGCCAACCTGCCCAGACCCTCGACTGTTGGCAGCTCCCACCGCCGGTCTAACCCCTGACCTAACCCGGTCCGCACCCTGACCTGACTTGGCCCCTGTCCTGACCTTTAGCCGGACATCTGACCGCCAGTCTGCCCGGACCCTCGGCTGTTGGCGGCTCCCACTGCCGGCCTAACCCCTGACCTAACCCGATCCGCACCCTGACCTGACCTGAGCTGATCCCTGATTTGCGCGCTGACCTCGACTACTGCTGACCCCTGGGCGTGACTTGACCTGATCCATGACCTGACGGCTGACCTGACGGCCGACCTAACCGCTGTCGCCGGCAGCTGGAGGAGCGGGAGCGGATCGGGCGCGAGCACCAGGCCTTCCTGGAGGAGCGGGGTGCCACCGCCAGGCTAGCGCAGGAGATGGCTGACAACCGCTCCCGGCACAAACAGTGGGCCGACAAACTGGCCTACCTCAAAGGTACGGACCTGCCGGCTTGTCGCGGCTTACACTGGCCGGGTCAAGTCGCTCATGCAAAGGTCAAAAACTGAAAATATTAATCCCTTAATTTTTCATGAAGTTCTATAAAATTCTCAAACCGAGATGTCACGATGTCGAGACGCTATATATGCGTATACAAGTTCACAATTGAAGCTCTGATACAAACATTGTTCTAAGGCGGAGACTCAGAGGCGGTTGATGCACCACGACCCCGTGCCTCACCTCTCCCCGACCCCCCCCCCCCCCCCCCCCCCCCCGCCGCCCCTGCAGAGGCGGAGACGGCGCACCGCGAGATGCTGCGCATGTCGGAGAGCAAGCTGGCGGCGCAGCGGCAGCGTCTGGCGGTGCTGCAGCAGGCGCTGCGCCAGCGCGGCCGGGCCGAGCGTGACTCGGAGCGCTCGCGGTCGCTGCTGCGCCAGACCACCGAGAAGGAGCTGCTCATTGGTCGGCTGCAGGATGAGATCAAGAAGCGGGTACGTCACGGCGCCGAGCTGGGGCGAGGGGAAGGGATCCGTAACGGTTCGTCACGGGACGGGTTGGGGGGGGGGGGGGGACACGGACATGCTGTGATACGTTAATCTGAGCGTGCGTTGTCAGTGACGAATTAAGCACAAAGTGTGTAGTGTGCCTGAAAATGGTATTGCGTCAGATACATCGCCGTAAATTGTACAAAGTACCCAGAATTTCGCATCAACATCATGCTCCATTGGATCAAGCTGGCGTGTCGATATTTCGCTTCGAATGCCCGTTAGAGTGCATCGTACAAGCATCATCCCTGTATGGCTCCCAGTAGCGGTAGACATGCACGATCACCATAATATTCCGGCCAGCTGCCGAGTCTCTTCTCTAAATGGCCTCGCCCCGCTCTAGACGTGGTCGTGTTGTATGTGAGCAGAAGCGGGAGTCGGACGCCATCTCGTCGCAGCTGCACCAGGAGGAGCGGGCCGGCGCGCCGTCCTCGGAGGAGGAGCCGCCGCCCACCGCGCGCAGCAGCTCCAGCGCGCCCAGCTGTGCCCGGCGCCAGCGGCCCTGCCTTAGCCCGCCCGGCGCCCGGTCAGTCCGGCGGCCAGTGACGCCGTGCAGGGCCGCAGATCGTGTTGGCACGGCTGCGTCACGGCCGGTGGCTGCCGGCTGGGTTGTGCGAAATGCTTGAGTGTGCTTCGTTTGAACAAGTGTCTGCGCTTCACGCCGACACGGACTGCACAAAGCAACACTGCTGTTATTCCGCTATCACCCAAACGGTTAATAGGGATACGTCTGGGGCGTGTTCGCGGGTGCCCGGTCGCCGGTACGCCTCTCCACTGTGGCCCTGACGTGCAGCTCGGTTCCCTCCAGGTCTGCGGCCGCGTCGCCGCCGCGGCGAGGTCGGCCGGGCCGTCCGCCCGGGCGCGGCTCGCCTCCTCTGGTCACGGCCCGCTCCAGCTCCACCTACGGCAGCCCGTCGGCCGACACGGCGCCCTCCAGCGGCGCCTCGTCACGTGCTACGCTGCCGCGCGCCCGGCCCGCGGCGCGCTCCAGCCCCACGCGCGCCACCGTGCCGCCCGTCAGCCCGCCGCGCCGCCGCACCACCCCGCCGCCGGACGGGCGCGCGCGCGCCGCTGCCGCCCGCGCCGCCGCGCGCGTGGCCGCGGTCCGCGCCCGCCTGCCGCTGGCCGCCGCCGCACGCGCCAGCAGTCCGACGCAGGGCAGTCCGCGCCGCGGGAGTCCTGGCCGCAGGAGTCCAGCCCGGCCGCCGGCCGCTCCGGCGACGGCCGCGGCTGCGACGGCCGCCGCCGCTCCCAGCAGCCCGCGCCGGAGCAGCCTGCACCTGAGCCCGGCGCGGGGCGACGGCTCGCCGCGCCGGCCCGCCGCCGGCACGCGCCGCGTCCGCATGGTACGGCAGCCGGGCAGGCCTGGTGCGGCTGGGTGGGGTGCTGACGGGGGCACTGTGGTCCGGCTGGTGTCTCCTGTCCAGATTCCCCTGGCGCCTTGTTAGGCGAGCTTGTTCTGACGTTCGTGGACGTTGAGGAGTCAAGTCAAGGGCACGGGGTCAATCATGTCTATCAGGAGATGGAATCGAACTGTGAAACATTTTTGTTATCATGAGATCAGTCTACGCTGTCCTGGATTCGCTACAAGAGACTGAGTTTCCTTTTGAACAACAATCCCAGTTTGTGTTATCATTGAGTGTGCGCGGCCTCGTTTCCCACGTAGTACGTAGCGATCCCTCCTAAACGCCATTCCCAATTGCCGCGAGAGCGCCGGCGCCGCCGCCTCGCCTCGGCTCACCCCGCCGTGCGCGTCCGCCGCAGGTGCCGGGCACGGTGGACGCCGACATCGGGGAGCTGGAGCGCGAGATTGACGAGATCGCCGCTGACGTGGCCTCGCTGGCGCGCGTCTCCGGCCACGGCTGAGCCGCAGGAGCGCTTCGGCTCCGTCTGCTCCGTGTCCACGTGGAACTCACGCTCGGCACCGGACGTCGGTCAGTGGGCGGCTGGTCTGAGCGGCCGCAGTCGGACTGGCGGCGACTGCCGGCGTGCCTGGAAAATGTCGGGCTCGGTTGGCTAGGGTTTAAGAGTGGGGGCGGGTTCTGAGAACGTGGCGCGCTTGGGCCAGGAATCTTCTCCGGAGGCTCACACGGTGCATTTGTCCCGTTTCTCGCGATTTTCAGCAAATGTGATTGCATTGTTGAGGCAGAGTTTGACATTTGCAGTGGCTTGTTGGCAGTTTATGCAGCTATTTGGACACTGTACTAGGAAGGCTATGTTTAGTGCCGTTCCTTACGAACGGCCGAGGACACATGATATGATAGACATCTCCATGCGGTTGTTGACTGACAGCGTAGTGGTGTCAACGACTCGTCTGACCGTTCTGATAGACGGCTCCTCAAGGCCGTGTCGTCAATCTTTTCACGGTGCGCTGATGATAAATTTGTCGCCACTGCCTGGTGGCGTGGCCAGACAAGACCCCGCACTGGGTGAATTGTATCCCTGCTAACTCTCGCCTTCCCTGACCAAGACACGGTCTGCTGGCAGTTGGCATTAAGTCACTCCCCCTTGTGGTCACCACGTTTTGTCCCTGGAGATTCCCCTCATCTGCTGATCTCCCCTACCGTCCCATCTGCTCTGCTTCGCTCCCCGACCGCCGGCGGCCGGCCTGTTGCAGCCTCGACGTTCGGCAGCGGCGGCGGCAGCGGCGGCTCGCTGCTGCCGGCCCACTCGTCGGCGCAGCGCGTGCGCGAGCAGCTGGTGAACAAGTGGCGCGGCGAGGACCGCTCCAGCGCCAGCGGCCGCTCGCTGCGCACCTCCAGGTGGGTCGCGCGGCGCCGACGCGTCGGCGGCGTCCGGCTCCTCCCCGGCTCCGTGCGGGCACCGCTCCACACCGGTGTGGCCGGTGTCGGGGTGTGTGCGCTGTGCGCGTGATTGAAGAAAAAGTTTGAGATTTTGCTGATTGTTTTAAGTATGGTACGCCTTCCATGGGCTCCTACTCGCATATACGTAGACATAGACGTGACGTGGTACTGTGGCCCGGAATGAGAGCGGAACAGCTTGTTTCGGTTAGTCGCTCCTTGGATGTCATGAAGCGTGAAGCAGACGGGCGCGACCGACCAGGACATCACTGATCACGTTCGCGTCCGTTGTGCCGTTGTCACACTACCGGCATCACACTGTGCCGGTGTCACACTGTGCCGACGTCACGCTGTGCTGACGTCGCACTGTGCCGGTGTCACACTGTGCCGATGTCACACTATGTGCCGGTTGTCACAGGTCTCAGCTGCAGCAGACGGCGGCGCAGCGGCGCCAGACGGGCAGCAAGCAGCGAAGCCGGCAGACCATGCCGCCGCGCCGCCAGACCAGCTTCCGCAGCATGCTGTGAGCGGCGCGGCGGTCGCTGGCGGCCGAGACAAGGCGCAGGCGGGGCGCGCCGCCGCAGAGCCGCCCGAGCAGCGGGACCGGGGCCGCTGCCGATCGAGACGTACGAAAGCGACAGGGTCTGGGGCAGAGTTCCCGGAAGCGCACAGTGAGCTGCACGGACCAGGGGGGTGCGTCTTCATGCATGCGAGAACGGTGGGATGAGGACCAGAAGCTGGTCTCGGAGCGCACGGGAAGCTAGGACACTGCAGAGCTGTGTGTTCGTTACGCTCGCAGGACCGGTGGCTCGAAGTGTGGGGCGTGGTGGTGATGTCATTGTCAGGTCATGGCGTGGAGAATTATCACGGATCACGTGGCAGCAGAGCACTGCATCCCAACGCTCCGGGATGTAGCGCAGTTCGTAGTTCGCAGTTCAGCGAATGACCGCGGGAGCCGCGGAAGTGAAGCTGATGCCCTTTCGGTGATAGTATTGTTTCACGTGGAAGAGCAAATTCCGTGACGCGTGAAATGTGTAGACTCAAAACTAGGAGTGAGTCAGTTCGTGGATTGACGAAACTTAAGGCATTTAGTCTTTTATAATCGTTTCCCTGTAGCCCAGTCATTTAACGTACGACGTTCAGCATTACCGTTTTGCCTTTGGAGGGTCTAAGTTTTTTATTTCCCGTCACTGTGCGGATAAAATCATCGCGCCTCTCATTCCCCGCGTTGTCACCCGTCAGAGTTTTCCCACCCAATCACCCAGCGTCCCCTGCGGGTAGCGCCTGTGATACGCAAACCAAAGCCGGGTCTCCGTGCGACCTGCGATGGATGGTCGTCCGTTCATCAGGGCTGGCAGATCTCTGCGGCCCCTCATCGAAGGACGCGTGTTTTAGACGCGTGCGTCGGTGTCCGGGCGACGCCGTGGCGGTCGTCGAGGACGCTGTCCGTGCGTGGCTCGCGTGTTGTCTGAGTGGGCTGGACACAGCTGGGAGGACGATGTCGGTGTTGGTCGGTGGTTTGGTGCCTCGAGCTCGTCCGCCCCAGACCCATGCTGTGCTGCATGTGAGGGTGTTGGATTGTGTCACTGTCCAACGGCGAAAACGATTTGCGTGCTGGTGAGCGCACGCTAAGGCATGTCTGTGCGTCCCGAGCGCCGAGAAGTGTATGATTGGCGAAAGAACCCACTTGTTGATGAAGTCCAATGTGTGTTGTGATGGATGCCCCGCGCAAATGTGGCGTTGTTGATTCAAAGAATAAACCATGTCGAATTTTGAACAGCCTGACCCTTCCGGCTTTGCGATTTCTCCTATTTTCGTATATTTCTGGTGGGACCGTAGCCGTATCCACAGCGTTTGCGGTCCACCAAACATTGCCGCTACATCACGTTTGGCGGCTGTGGAACTCACATCTAAGTTGACTTATCTGCAAAAAAAAACGAGCGGAGGAGAACCACCTCATGATGGTTTTTGGCGGCTTACGAGCGGTATTTGTTGAAGTCCCCCTGGTGTGCTGACCAGCAGCGGCGCCAGGGGGCGGCGGCCTCCCCACTCGCGAACTT